GGAAGCACGCGGGCTTCGACGCGGGGCCGGGCAACCAGGACGTGCACTGAACGAACTCGGCGGCGAAGTTCAGGCACGTGCCCCAGCTTGGGCAAGCCACCCACTTGGACTGCACTGCTCAGCATTGGCACGCAACACGTTTGCGATCTCGGCCATGGGTTTCGCGGCGCAACTCAGCGAGCCGACGGGGGACGTCTTCGGCGGGGCGTCTCAATGTCTGCGACGAGCCGCCCCGGGCCTGGGTAGTTGCGCAAGTCCGATGGATCTATCGAGGCCACGGCATTCATGTTTTTTCTACGGCGCTGTCTGACTTCCTCGGCTTACCGCTCGAACAACACATCTGCGAGCGCGACCTCTGGGAAACGCCTGCGGCGACCACCCCGCTTGCCCAGGCACCCCCTTGGACTTCCACATCTCGAGCGACCAAGCGCGCCCCCCCACCCACGCCGACCCCACACCGCTGCCACCACGCGCCCCCAACAGCAACAATCTCAGTTGCGAACCATCTAAGACCGATGGCTTCAGCACTCCTACCACCTCTGACTCGGCGCAAACTTGTCGGCCGCGAAGGCTTCTTTGGGGCGCCCGCCGAGTTGCGCCGCCCCTCGGCACCAACGCGCCCCGCCCCTACACGGCGAAGCATTGGGGCCACATTCGCACCCGCGCCCGCTCGATCGTTGCAGGCGCACGCGCCGCTGGCCGAGTTCCGCGCTCGGCGCAAATACCGACGCCCAGGCCTCGGCCTGCCCGACCACGCCCACGTCGCTAGCTCATTTCCGGCCAGGCAGCGCACGGAAAATTGGCACGGCCCGGCAGCTCTTCATCACCTTCGTCGACTAAGCACGTCGGTGACCCCGAGGGCGCAACGGGCAGTTCTCAGCACCGCGCTGCATCGTTGGGCCACAGCCGGTCGTTTTCAAGGCGCCGGCACGCGCATGTTCAAGGCGCCCAACGCCCAGGACTCGACGGAGCATTGCGCCACATGCCTTTTGGCGAAGCGACTGGCTGCGCGGCGCCCACGTCTCGACCCGCGCCAGTCCGCGAATTTCCATTATTTTCTGCTGGCTGGCCCGCTGGGCGATGCCAAGGAGACCCTCGCGGCCAACGCCCACATGGCCCACGCGCCCCACAGGCGCGCCCGTTGCCAGCGACACGCCCAGACACCCCCACCGACAGACGCGCTCCACGACGCAATGACGACATGGGTTCGCGCAGGCGTTCGCGGCCACGGCCCCTCCGCCCGCGCCCTTGCCCGACGCTGGATTCCGAGCGCCCCCCGCCGACTTCTTTGGGCGCCGCGATGCCGCCGACCCACGCCAGCGCCCTAACCCACTCCGGCCATCCCATTTGCGACTTCACGCGCGCGCGCGCACCAACGGCAACCGAGCCGCAACGGAGCCACGGCAACCGACCCACAGCAGACCCACGCAACATGCCCACGCAGCCACCACGGCCAGAAACAGTCACCGCAACCACGAACCGAAACAGACAACACGACGACGCACAGCCACCACGACCAAACCACGACACGACCAGGAACAGCGACCACGACCGCGAACAGCCACCAAGACCAGAAACAGACAACACGGCACGAACAGCCGCCGCGACCGGACACAAGCCACCACGACCACGACCAATAACAACCACCACGACCATGACCAGCCACCACGATCAGAAACAGCCACCACGACCGCGAGGCTGCGGGGGGGCATTCCGCGAAGCAGGAGAGCGCGGACGCATTCGCACCGATACTTTTGACCTCCCCCGCTCGGACAGGGGGGGGCATTTTGTCAACGCACTCCAGGGCCGTGGTCGTGCGCGGTTTCGATTCCACTGCCGGACCCACCTTGCCCCCCCGTGGCACCCCGACGCTCGCGCCATTTTTGACGGCGACGTCCCACCTCACCTGTCGTCGGCGACGATCGCCAGAAACAGCCACCACGACCGCGAACAGCCACCATGACCAGAAACAGCCACTACGACCACGAACAGCCACCACGACATGAAACAGCACCGGGACCACGAACAGCCACCGCGAGCAGAAACAGCCACCACGACCACGATCAGAAAGCAGCCACCACGACCGCGAACAGCCACCTTGTCCGAAGACAGCCACCGCGACCACGACCAGAAACACGCCCGGAATTCTGATTTCAACGTTCCAGTGAAAATCCGACTTGTTTGACGTGGCGAGTTGCGGAGCCGGCAACTTCTGTCCTAATTCTTGCCGCTCCAACATGCACGTTGTCTCACAGATGTTTCCTGACGCCCACACACACACAAACACACACACACACACGCGCACGCACACACACACACACACACACACACACACACACACACACACACACACACACACACACACACACACACACACACGCACACGCACACGCACACACACACACACACACACCCGTAGCCATTTTGGCTCAAGATGATTTGTTCCACAGGGGAACGAGTGGATACCGCTAGTCCGCGGCCAGTGCCAGGGCTTCTCCGCCCGACAGTTTTGTTTCGTGTGTTGGCAAGGGGTAGGCTGTGCGCTGCCCACTCGCCATGTCCAGTGCCTCGCAGAGGGCCAGGTCTGAGCCGCGGGCCAAGCGCGGCGGCGGCAAGGGCAAGAGCAAAGGAGTTGGCAAGGCAGGCAAGACCAACGCGAGCGGAGCCAACCCCCTGGACTACGTCCGCTGTGCGAACTGCTCGTACAAGTGGAACTTCAAGGCCAGGGTGGAGTGCTACAACTGCAAGAAGCCGCTCAAGCCTGCCGCAGTGGACGAGCCTCCGCAGCCACGGGCATCGGCGTGGTCATTCGTGCGCGAGCCGTGGGTGCGGCACTCTGACGACTGGTTCGGGTACGAGGCACCGCCACCGCAGCCCGCCCCGCCGTCGGATGCAGAGTGCCTCGCGGCGTTGGCGGCCAGGCATCCCGAGCGCGGCCAGCAGCTCGAGGCCATCAAGATGGCAGTCGCACCACCGCCCGTTGCGGCCACGGCGTTGCCAGATGTGGCCCTCAACCGCGCCCAGGCCAAGCAGCGGCGGGCTCAAGCCGCCTTCCTCTCCAAGTCCCAGCAGGTCCACGACGCCGAGCAGTGGCTCCAGGCCTGCCGCGAGGAGGAGGTGCGTGCTGGTGAGCTCGTCCTGGCGTGCAACGTGGAGGTGGAGGAGGCCTACAAGGCAGCAGCGCCCAAGGGCGTCCAGGTGCAGGCGCAGGAGGCGCAGGGGCCTGGCGCCAAGACTCAGCCTGCCGCGGGCCTCAACGTCACGGCGCTTTTGGCGGAAGACTTCCAGGTCGAGGCAGGCGACGCCTTCAGGCTGGACGACCCCGACCTGGACATCACCGACACGGAGCGCGAGGAGTTCAACAAGTCCCTGGAAGGCTTCGTCGAGCAAGTCAAGCAGCACGTGCGCACCACCTTCGGTGAGGCCAAGACGCAGCTGGAGCAGAGGCGCAGCGAGATCGACGCCGAGCACCAGCAGCTGCTGGCCAGGCGCAAGCGGCCTCGCACCGAGGCGGCAGGAGCAGCAGACCAGACGCCAGCCCAGGCGCCAGCCGCAGGCCCTGCGGCAGCAGGCCCCGCGGAGGCCCCAGCGGCCGCCGCGGCCACAGCCCAGGCCCCCACCCCTGGGCAGCCTGAGGCCCCTGCTCGGCCTCCTGTTGCTCACCCTCCAGAGCCACCCAGCCTCCGCGGCCCCGATGGCGCAGCCAAGTTGGCTCAGCTCAGGCGGGACTTGGAAGCAGCAGCCGCCGTTCCAGCTGGGGACGCAGATGCGTAAGGCCCAGTCCTGGGGACCTGATGCGCCGCCAGAGGCCAAGCCACGAGAGCCCAGACTCGTCCGCCTGGGCAGGCGGGAGCGGGCCATCCTGGCCACGCGTATGCGCCGCATGGCTCGGCATTGGCGCCCTACCCCGTCGCTGGGGACCACGGCTCAGGACCGCAGGCACTGGGACTCCTACTGCGTGCCGTACATCTTCCACCAGCTGGGCTCTGGGGAGTACACAGCCATGCTGGACGACCTGGCAGCCACCACGGGCAGCGGATCCCGAATTGCCGAGCGCATGAGGATTGCACGGGAGTTGGGTGACGAAGCCTGGAACCGTGGAGGGGATGCCAGGCGCCTCCAGCGGCAGCGGTTGGAGCATCTGCAAGTGGCGAATCAGGATGTTTTCGAGCGTGAGGCGGCTCAGCAGGACCGCACCCAGTCAGCCGCGGAGCGGTGGTTCGACCGCCAGTCCCAGGCGACGTCGGGAACGCAGGCCCCCACCGTCTACTTCGACGACCGCATCCACTGCTGGAGGTTGTGCGCCGCGAAGGTGCTGGAGGCCGACCTCGGCCCATCCACCTCGACTGGCCTCGGAGGAGTCGTTGTGTTGCTCTGCCTCGCCCGTTGAATGCACCGAGCTCACTCCCACCCCAGCCGCGTGCAACCTCACGGACGAGCACCGAGGAGCTGCCCCATGTATTTCAGCTGGTGGTCTCTCTGCCGTCCGAGGCAGCCCAGATCAGCTTACGTCAGTTGGTGGTTTCTCGGGCTCAGCTGTTTCAACGGGCGATGGTCTCTCGGCCGCCGATGGTGGCACCCAGGCGCAGCTTATTTCAGTCAGTGGTGTTTCGGGCTCTACAGTTTCCACGGATGGGGGTTTCTTGGCCGCTGGAGGCACCCAGGTGCAACTTACGTCAGGCCGTGGCCCCTCTGGCTCAGATGCCTCAACTGTAGATGGTTTCTCTGTCGCCGTTGGAGGCACTCAGGAGCAGCTTACGCCAGTTGGTGGTTGCTCGGGCTTTGCTGCTCCCACAGGCGGGCCTTTCTTGGCCGCTGGAGGCCCTCAGGCGCAATTTGCGTCAGATGGTGGTTTCTCGGACCCAGTTGTTACAGCAGGTGTTGGTGGCTCTGCCCACGGAGGCAGTCAGGCGTTGCTTACGTCAGTTTTTGTTTCTGCAGGCTCAGCTGTCTCATCTGGGGAAAGCCACTGCGGCCCTGGGCAGCCTAACATCATCGAGATGGCCCATGAGACTGTGGCACACCCTACCGAGGGCGGGGACGTCAGTGTCGGCAGCATTGGCGGCCAGTCCACCTGCAGCGGGACTTCGGCAAAGCCCCAGTGCGACGTCGCCAAGTGCCGACCCTCAGCAGCAGGAGCCCGCAGAGGCAAGCGTCGACAGCGGAGCCACAGGCGCTTCACCTTCCACAGCGTCAATGCCAGCCTCAGCTGGGGCAACGTTGTGGGCTACCTCCACGGCGCGGCACACCAGCAGCTCACCGAGGGCAAGATTCCGATCATCGGTTCCCAGGAGCACGGCAAGCGGCGTTTATGGGCCGAAGAGAGCGCACGGGCCCTGCTGCCCTTGGGCTGGAGGGCCCTGCCCACGCCAGCGATGGACGGCCCGAATGGAGGGGCCTCGGCGGGCGTCTTGCTGGCGATACCTGCCTGCGTCGGCGTCACTCTTGCATCTGGACAGCGACACTGGGACATATCTCCCCCAGGTTGTGCAGGCAGGCTCCTGATGGCCACCCTCGAGGCCAAGGGCATCGGCAAGTTATTGGTTTTCTGTGCGTATTGCTTCACTGGTCAGAAGTTGGCGTCTGTGGGCAATTCAGCTCTCCTGTCAGTTATCACGGGGTGGGCAGTCCAGCTCCAGCTGCCCTGGATCGTCATCGCGGACTGGGAGAATCTACCTGGCGCTTTGGAGCGTTCGCCGTGGAACAACCAGCTCAGAGGCCGCGTCGTAGCGTGGCAAGGGGAAGGGGGCACCAACCGCTCCCCGCACGGTGAGCGCGTGATCGATTATTTCTGGATGCACTCCAGTTTGGCTGCCAATATTTCCCCAGCCCGCATTGACGACGACGCGGTCTACCACCCTCATAGAGCCACATGGGTCGAGTTTCAGCAGCCTTGGTCGGCCTTTACCTACACCAAGCTCATCCGACCCCACAAGTTCCCGATCCCAGGAGTCAAGCCGAGGCACTTCGATCTCTCGTGCCCAGACGTGCCTGCAGGTTTCGACCCCGATGCGGTGCCTACCCAGGAGCTCCTGGACGACACCTGGGAGGCTTTCTGCCACGCCGCCGAGGAGGAGCTGATCCAGAAGGTGGGTTTGGACCCCAGCAGTCGGCAAGCCGATCAATGCCGAGGGCGTGGGGGACCACCGCGCTTCAGGAAGTGCCCGTTGCTCCCGACCCACACCGAGGCCATCGCTTCGTACGGGGAGGCCAAGCGTTGGAGGTGGTTTGCCAACGAGTTGGCTTGGCTGGGCATCATTGAAGTAAAGCTTTTCAGCTACACGGGCGCTTCCGACCTGGTCCTCACCACGTTGCACCAGCAGCGGCACGCCTCCATCCGCAAGTTGCGTGACCGCTTCAGGCACCACATGCTGTTAGAAGGCGTGGCTGAGTTGCAGGAGTCCTTCGAGGTTTTCACGTCTCGGGACCGCGGCTATGAAGACTTGCAGGAGCTCTCGGCTTGGCGCCTCAGCTGCAGTCAGTACGCCTCGTACTTGGAGTGGCAGATCGGCAAGGAACGACGAGATTCCTTCAAGCAGCGGTTGGAGGACGACTTCCCAGGCTCGCAGGGGCTCCCCCACAGGGTCACCAAGTGGCGCCAGGCTTGGCAGGCTCCCAAGGGCAGCATCTCCAAGAAGCTGCTCCCAGCGGCGCCTCAGGCCGCCGTGGACCAGGAGTTGCACGACTGGTCGAAGGTCTGGTCTGGACCACTGGCTCAGGTTTCCCCAAGCCGTGGAGGGGCCTCCAGCAAGTCGCCGTCACGCCGCCCAGCCCTCACCACCTGCGCGGTTTGGCCCAGCGTTTCAGGGCCAAGACGGGGATTGGCGTGGACGGATGGCAACCCAAGCTTTGGGCCTACCTCACGGACGGCACGCTCTCGGTGCTCGCGTCATTGCTGGCCTGGTGCCAACAACTGGGGCGGTGGCCGTCCCAGGTCCACCTCCTGCTCGTTTTCATCATCGGGAAGCTCGATGGAGGGGGCCGACCCATCATTCTTCTACCTGGCCCTTGCCGAATCTGGGAGGCGTGGCAGCTGCCCACCATCAGGAGCTGGTTGGCGGCGCACCCCAGGAGCTACGACTACACGGCGGCGGGCCAATCATCGGAGCGTGCGTTGTGGAAAGCTTTGTTGGACGACGAGCTCGTGTTGGGCACAGGCATACGTGCGGCCACGATGCTGGCGGACCTCGCCAAGTGTTATGAGAAGGTTCCGCATGAGCGTATGTGGTGGCTAGCAGCTTGGTGGGACGGCCCGCTGGAGGTGGTCGCGCTCGCCCTGGAAAGTTTCGCCTTTGGCCGTGTCATTCGTCTCGGGGAGGCCTGCTCGGCGGAGGTCTTGTCCTCCACAGCGCTCCCAGCGGGCAGCCGTTTCGCGCCCACCTTCCTGAGGTTCTACCTCACGCTGTGCTTAGACGACCTGCTGGGGGTTTTCCGCCTCACGATCTACTTGTACGTTGATGACATCGCCCTGCGGGCCATGTCCACCGAGGCGCGCGTCTTGCACATGCTGCCGCAGGCCACGCGCTTGCTGGTTTGGATGCCGGAGTCCTTCTTGGGCCTGGAGGTAGCCCGAGCGCGGGACGGGGCGAGAGGCAAGTGCTCTTTCCTGCAAACGGCCACTCCGTCTTCAGGCTTGACGCAGGCCACGGCCGTCCTGGGAGTACCGCCCAGCACCTCCGAGCGGTGGCTCGGCATCGACTACGGCCCCAGCGTCAAGACAGAGAACCAGTCAGCCCCAGTCAGACACGCGCGGCTCAAGATAGCCAAGCAGCGTTGGCCTAAGATCCGCGGCCTTCCTCGTGCACGCGGGGGCAAGCTCAAGATGGTCGTGCGGCAGGGCTTCGGAGCCTCGGTCGCCTACGGCGCCCGTGTCCGCGGCACGCCCAGGCCCATCGTGCGTTTCATCCAGCAGAAGGATCGGGCCGTCCGCAGGGGCGCCACAGCTTTTACCTCCCGAGTCTTGCACGACGGCCTCGACCCCAGTTGCCCCGACACCCTCGTTCTGGCACCGCTGCTGGCTTGGGCGAGGGAAGCTTGGGACCACCCAGAGGGGCGGCGTGCGCAGGCCACAGCATGGGCACGAGTGCAGCAACAGCTCGCGCTGCACATGGACGCCGACGCTCAGGAGTTGTGGTCAGTGGTGCGCGGCCCAGCGGGGGCCACCTCAGTCACAGTTCGAGCCCATGGTTGGAGCATGCCGTCAGCCTTCGAGATTGTCTTGCCTCCACGTGGCGGGGTGCTCCAAGGAGGGGACGTCCATCTTGATCTACTGCAGATTTGCCCCAAGTCGGTCGAGGCCGCCGTGCTTTTGGCCGCCCGTTCCAGAGCCCTGTGCCAGTGGGCGGCGGCTCAGCCCGAGCGGGCTGCGCCCCTGCCAGCGCCGTGGCTCACCCCAGCGAGGCAGTTGGTCAAGCGGCGCAAGCAGGACGGGTGGCTGCAACACCATGCCGACGCGGTCAAGAAGGCGGTGTTGGGCGGTTCCCCTTCGCAGGAGGCCCTTTTCTCTTCGGGCCAAGCGGACACTCCGCATTGCCAGCTTTGCGACGACACGACCTGTTTCGGCACCCACCAGCACTATTACTGGCGGTGCGGCAGCCCGACGTGTGCTACGGTGAGGGAGCAGCTGACGGCCCACGACGCGTCACCTACCTTCAGAGACGTCGGCCACCTGGGCGTGTCGGCCTCCTCGTCGGAAGCCTCAAGATGGTTGTGGGAGCGGGGTTTGCGGCGAACCCCATGTTACGGCTTGGCTTGGAGTCTACCGTCGCAGCGCACCCATTGCATCGTCAATGGCGCGGCCCCCGAGCTCACCGATGTGCTGGTTTCGGACGGATCAGTCACAGGCTTGGATGACCTCAGGCACGGCGGCTGGGCGGCTTTGCAGTGCACAGCGGAGGCCGACGACGTGGTGCAGGGCCTGTACGGCCCACTGCCCTTTCCCGACCCCAGCTCGGTCCTGGCAGAGTTGTGGGGTCTCCTCCACGCCCTCAGGCATTCGGTCTTCATCACGGCCATCATCATTGACAATGCTCAGGTGGTCCAAGGCTTGGCTCGTGGCAGGGCATGGTGTTGTTCAGCGGCCAGGCCCTATGCGCACGTCTGGCTCGAGATCTGGGATCGCCTGGATGACATGGACATCCTTCCTGGCAGAGAGTTGTCGGTCATCAAAGTCGCCTCGCACATATCGCAGGCCAAACGCCTAGAGCTGCCAGAGGAGGTCCAGATTCACATGAGGCACAATGACTTAGCCGACGAATGGGCCAAGCAAGGAGCAGACCTCAGCGCGCCGCCAGAGTGGGCCACGTTGCAGGTCAAGCAGGAGCTCAAGGCCACCAAGCGCGTGCTCGAGTACATCGGGCACTTCAGGGTCCTCCTCGACGGGGTCAAGTTGGCGGAGCCTAGGCCCAAACGACAGCAGGGCCAAGAGGCCAACATTCCTCAGGCTGCACGACCCCAGGCTGGTCCCAGGCACCCGCACGTTCTGGAAGTGTGCCGCGGTTATTCCAAGTGCACCAACTGCGGCAAGGTTGCCCGCACTCGCCTCGCGGCCTTTCAGTTGCAGGAGTGCCGTGGTCGTCTCCAAGGGCTCCAGGGCAAGTTAGTCAAGAGTGCGGCCAAGAGAGGCAGTGTGGCGGTGCCTCTTCTCGTGGCGGCAGGCGCCGCCGCTCGGCCTGTGCGACAGCGAGCAGACCATGGAGGTCAGGGTGAGCCTCGAGTAGTGCCCGACCCTGCGCCTGCCTCCCAGCTGGGCCCCGACCCGCTGTGGGCTCCTGTCGCAGCAGCCCGCGCGGCTCTTGGCAGGATGGAGCGGATACCTGACGGCCCTGTGTGCATGGGAACCCCGCCAAGCCAGCCACACATCACGCCCGAACAGCAGCATGTCCGTTCCATCATGGACGATGCCATCATCTGGGCGTCTTTCTGGATCGATCGTTTCGACGTGGCAGGCTTCACCAACGAGTGGGACTACCGTACGTGGTGTTCGGAATATCTTGAAAGGTTTCTCAGCTCGGCGGCGTGGGCACCAGTTCGAGAGCATCTTCTACGTAGCAACCCTGGCCGCACTCTCGGGCAGGTCGTCGACGACCTATGCGCCACCTCTTGGACGCGTGCCGAACCAGCCCGTCAGGCTCAGTTCGCCAGGGTGCGGCCTGACTCGGGTTTGACAGCCAGGCAGCGCCGTCGGCTGCTTCGGCATCACTTCGATGTGTTGAACCAGGTCAGGGAGCGTTTCAGGGATCTTCTTGGAGATCGTGCCCCGCCTGAGACGGCCTCCTGGCACCAGTGGGTCTTCGAGCCCCTCTCCTCGGATGACGACCAAGGAGGTGATGCGGCAGGCCGCGCCGCCGAGGACGCCCATGGCTACGACGATACCGACGAGTTCGCGGCCCTCAGCGTGCACAGCGACCTCGAGGTGGTGGAGGCAGACGGCAAGGCCACGCAGGCCACAGGCACCCAGGCGTCAGAGCGCGAGTCGTCGCCCAATCCCGACCTCGCCCCCAGGGCACTCCAGCCACAGGAGGAGGGAGCTCCAGCGGGAGGGGCGAGGCGGGAGGGTGTTTTGCGGATCCGCAGTGCGGCAGCCACCTGTTCCCAGGACGTGGACGACGGTGCTACGGCTGGCGCTGGGGCAGCTCCGGTTCCCACGGTGCCGCCTGCTGCTCAACCCGCTGGCGAGCCTGGAGCTGATCAGGGCGAGTTGGCCAGCTCCCTGGACGTGGACGGCAAGGCTGCCACCCAGGCAGCGGCCGCTGTGCGCTCCGCCCCCTTGGCGGCACACCAAGCTCGCGCTGGCCAGGGCAGCCTGAAACACGGTGGTAAGGCCCCAAGGACTGGTTCCTCAGCATCCTCGGCGGCGGCGGCGGGCTCCGGCCAGGGCGGCCTGGCACCGCTGGCGGGGTCCCCGCCGCCCTCGGCTGGGGCTGCGGCGGCCTCGGAGCCAGAGCGGGGTGCGCGCGGGCGGGCGGCCTCTGCCCAGCCCGCCAGGAGTGGCCAGGCGCTGCCTGAGGCGGCCAGAGCCGCTTCATCGGAGCCTCGGCCACATACGGTCGAGATCATTGGCAACTTCGTGGTCTGCGTCGTGCGCGGTTCCTACTACAGCTCGGTGGCCAGGAACCTCGGCGGGCCGTGCAGGCGGCTGGACCCGCGCGACCCAGGCGACAAGGAGCGCCTCAGGCGCATTCGCCGCATCCAGCGCGGCCAGGACCCAAAGACTGGAAGGGATCTGAGTTGAGGCCGTTGTGCTCGTTCAATGATCTGTCTGGTCTCAGTGCGTGCGGCCCCCCTTGGCACGGTGTTATCCGTGAGCTGAGGGGCCTGGGCGGGGCTGCCGCCCCGCCCGGGGCGCTCGGGCCTGCTTCCCCGCGTTGCGGGTGGCCTGGGCGCGGCGCGTTTCTCGCTGCGTTTCGGCCCCCCGTTGGCAGCAGGCTGAGGGGCCTAGGGTGGGGCGCGGCCTCGAGAGGGCCACGGCGCCGCCGCCCTGGGGAGCGCGCGGGGGCGCTGCCCGCGGCTCGGCTCCTTTCGGGCTCGGCAGGCGACGGACGTCGCTCGAGGGCCCAGCGCACGGGCCTGGCGAGGTGCAGACGCCCCAGGCCGCCGACGCACCACAAAGCACCAAAACACACACACACACACACACACACACACACACACACACACACACACACACACACACACACGCGCGCGCGCGCGCGCGCGGGGGCGGAGCTGCTGATAGGGGTGCGAACTGGCGATTTCCACACCTCGCACGCCGACCAGATTGCCAGCCCACGCCCCGCCAGCTCACCGACGTCCGCGCCGACTCGCTCGCCGGCTCTCGCGCCGACCAGCTCGCTGACTCCCGCGCCGACCAGCTCGCCGACTCCCGCACCCACTAGCTCACTGTTTCTCGCGCCAACCCGCTCATCGACTCTCTCAACGGCCAGCTCGCCCACCCCTTCACCGACCAGCTCACCTACTCCCGCCCCGACCAGCTGGGCGCCCCCCGCACCGACCAGCTCACCGACTCCTGAGCCGACCAGCTCGCAGACTCCCGCGCCGACCAGCTCATCGACTTCCAGTCCGACCCGCTCACCGACTCCCGCGCCGACCAGCGCACCGACTCCCGCACCGACAGTTGAGCAGCACGGATAGAAGCAGGGATGTGAGGACCATCAGTTGTCGACGTGATTGTCTGAGAGTGGGGATTGACGGGGATCGTAGCAACGGTGCTACTACGCCCATCCCATCCATCTCGGACAGCAGGCTTATCACGCGAGCTGTTTTGGCAGCTAGTGTTGCTGGTGGAGAGGACGAAGAAGCGACGTTGCATTTCTTTGCCTTCAGCAACTTCTGGATTGGGGTACCTTGCACGCGCGCACCGGCTCCAGGCTCCAGGAGCAATACGCAAACGCTGGCGGAGGGGCACTTCTATGCAAACACTGTGGGTGGAGGTTTGCATGCCAACGCAGTGGATGGACACTTTGATGCAAACCTCCTTGTCGGTGGCGTGAAACGCTATGGGTGGACACTCGCATGCAAACGCTGCGGGTGGACACTATCATGCAAACGTTTGAGCCACGTCGGTCGAGCCCGATCGGCGCTTGAGCCATATCGTTGACAACGCGCCCAGAATTCTGACTTCAAGAGTCCGGTGAAAATCTATCTGTCAGACGTGGCGAGCGCCGACCAGCGCGCTGACTCCCGCGCCGACCAGTTCATCGACTCCCACCTCGACCAGCTCACCGACTCCGGCACCGATCAGCTCGCCGGCCCCCGCGCCGACCAGCTCGCCGATTCCCAGGCCAACCAGTTCACCTCAGGAGAGAAAAAAAAAAAAAAAAAAAAAAAAAAAAAAAAAAAAAAAAAAAAAAAAAAAAAAAAAAAACGGACACAATTAATCGTCGATTCCCAGGAAAATATAGGAAAATATGGGAAGTGGGGGGGGAGACAAAAGCCAGGAAATATTGGAAAATATGGAGTATTTCTATTTGCGTGCATTTATGTGTGTGTCCTGGGGCCCCTTCATCACCGACCCCCGCACCAGCCAGCTCACCAACTCCCGCGCCGACCACTTCACCGACTCCTGGGCCGACGACGGCGATGGTTTCGACAACTCGATCTTTTGCCGCGTCAACTCCGACGGCGATTCCAACACCAGATCAGGCGCAAGTTCCAGCCGCCTTTTCCCGAGCAGCCCAAAAACGACGGCGAGCACGCAAGTGAACAGCACGACGCTGACCAGCACTACCACGAGCGGCGCCAGCACAATCAGCACGACCACGACCACGAGGGCGAGCACAACTAAGGATGCGGCTCCGACCGCCGCCTCACACTGTCAGCTGCTACGAGTACTTCCTCCATCCCCGTGTGCAGTGCCCGCTCGCCCCGTCCCTCTCCCCGCGTCGACTCCCCGTCCACGGACGCAGATATGCAAATCTCGCGCCTCTCCCGCCCCTGTCGTCACCGCCGCGACGACCTTGGCCTCAACCACGTCGTGGTCCACGACTCCCCCGGCCATCACCACGACTACCTCGAATACGAGAGCTCCAGCGGCCACCATCGCCACCATCACGACTTCCACCAAACGAAGGCGGACAAACCCTGTCCCCCCTCACACGACCTTTCACAGCATAGACGCCAATACCGACTGCAGCATCGATGCCAGCGGCATCGGTTCCGACGCCAGCTCCAGCCTGACAGCAGCAGTGGCAGTGACACAGACACCGATTCGGGCACCGACGCCAGCAGCACCGACTCCAGCCTTGACCCCCAATGCCATTGCGGGCTCTTATATCGCCGAGCGCGCTCCACCACTCGCAAAGTGCCTACTCGCAAGCCATACGTCTGCCTTTGTGTAATATATCGTAGATCCCCTGTGGCGGACCCAGGCCATTTGCGAGCAGCTGCTTTGCGATTCGTGGAACGCGCTTGTCTACTATAGCTACATCTACCACTTTTTCCTCCCTTACCCGCGCCACGTGACCACCGCCAAAGTCGATGCACGACCTTGGAGCGAGACGCTGCGCAAGCGGGCCATTGGAAGCACCGGTACACTTGTACCCGTCTCCAGCCGCCCATCGGCATCCATCCTCTTCGGGGACGGTTATCACAAGAAGCACCTCCTCTACAGGCTCTTCGACGCCTTGTTATACCAGTGACTTCCGTCTCCTCGGTTCTCTTCAAACGCACGCTGCTTTGATTCACTCGTACTACAGCTGATCGTCGCTGACGTTGTACAGCTTGCGCGCTGATTGGGGGATCGCGCGTGTCCCTGTCCTCCTCTTCCTCTGTCTCATTTCTGTTGAGTGGGGTTTTTTGATTTGGCCGTTTGGGCCATTCGGTTGGGATTGACACAACATGTTATGTCCAATCCTGGGGCGTTACGTTGTAGGGCGATTTCGTATCATTCGCCTTTTGCTCCTAGGACGAATCACTGCACGCATGTCCGCCCCGCCGCCGCGTTCCAGCAGCCGCCTCGCGCGGCCAAAGGGTCGGCGCTGCGATGTCACCCCCCCTTTTCGCCCTTTTTGTCCGTCCGGCCGCCTCCCCAATTTTACGTCTTTCGCATTTTCGCTTGTACCTTTCATGTGGCACACCCAGGGATTTCACGATTGCGCGTTCGATCTGCAACGTCGCCGCGGGAGGGAAAAAGGGGGGATTACAACAGAACAAACAAAAAACAAACACACACACACACACAAAAAAAAGAGAGGATAACCAAAAAAGACAAAAACACAAAACAAACAAAAAAACAAAAAAACAACAAACAACAAAACACAAAAAACACACACACAAAAAAAAAAAAAAAAAAAAAAAAAAAAAAACGCATGTGCTTATAATAACGCCATAGTCGCCGCAGAGATGATCGCCAGAAGCTGCGCTGCCCAACATGGGCAGCGAAGAGCAAAACGCACGACAGTTTTGCAGCCCCCCCGCGGCGACCGATGACGGGGAACGTGGCAGGCGCAGGCAGGAGCAACGGACGCAGCAGACAGCCGAAGGTTGAGAAGCCCGAGGCCAGAAGGAGGTAAGCAGAGACAAGTCAAAGAGGCCAAACGGGCGAAGAAAACGCTGGCAGGGACAGGGAAGAAGGACGCAGATTGGGCGGACCCAACGCGGCAGCAGGACGGGGTCACGACTGTCGAGTAGCATGTCGCCCCCCTCCACCTCCCAGGGTGGCAGGCAGGCCGCCTCCGGGAGGAGGCGGCTCCGCGGTCCGGCATCCGGCACAGGAGACCCTTTCGCGGGAAGGGGCAGGCGACGGAGCCGCGTTCAGGACACATCGGGCAAGTTGTCGAGGAAAGCGCCGATGGCGCCAGCGGCGGAGGAGTCGCTGGGTCTGGCGCACGCCGCAGGCTATCGGACGGAGGCGGCGCTTTCCCAGTCGGTTCCGAGCAGGGAGGTGCAACCAGGCGGCGCCGCACCGGGCATGGCACCTGGGGTCCTGCGCGTGGGCTGGGATGCGTTTCGAACGCGCCTTGGAGGGAGGCGGAGGCGTGTTGGTGAGGTCCGACCTTGCCGCTGGGCTGGCTGCGGGAAGGGCGGGGGGTGGGGCGGCGGCGCGGGAGAGGAAACGGGAGTGCCAGCGTGCGGGGCTGCCCCGCGATTGCTGGCGGGCTTGTGAACCGATGGCCACAGGCCTGCGGTCCAGAGCAGAGTTATGGCCGTAAAGCTGGCCCCGAAGAGGCGGTAGAAGGTGGTGGTGGTGGTGGTGGTGGTGGTGGTGGTGGTGGTGGTGGTGGTGGTGGTGGTGGTGGTGGTGGTTGTGGTGGTGGTGGTGGTGGCGGTGGTGGTGGTGGTGGTGGCGGTGGTGGTGGTGGTAATAGTGGTGGTAATAGTGGTGGTAATAGTGGTGGTAATAGTGGTGGTAATAGTGGTGGTAATAGTGGTGGTAATAGTGTTGGTAATAGTGGTGGTAAGAGTGGTGGTAAGAGTGGTGGTAATAGTGGTGGTAGTAGTGGTGGTAATAGCGGTGGTAATAGTGGTGGTAATAGTGGTGGTAATAGTGGTGGTAATTGTGGTGGTAATAGTGGTGGTAGTAGTGGTGGTAATAGTGGTGGTCATAGTGGTGGTCATGGTGGTGGTAATAATGGTGTTGGTGCTGGTGCTGGTGCTGGTGCTGGTGGTCTTGGTGCTGGTGGCCTTGATGCTGGTGGTGCTGGTCGTGCTGGTGGTGCTGGTGATAATGCTGGTCTTGGTGTTGCTGGTGGTGGTGGTGGCGGTGGTGTGGTGGTGGTGGTGGTGGTGGTCTTG